GGAATGGTGGCTTGGGAAAAGCTGGAATGGTGGCTTGGGAAAAGCTGGAATGGTGGCTTGGGAAAACTTGGAATGATGACCTGGGAAAACTCAGAATGGTGGCCCAGGAAAACCGGGAATGGTGCCCCGGGAAAAGCTGGAATGGTGACCTGGAAAAAGCTGGAATGGTGGCCTGGGGAAACCGGGAATGGTGGCCTGGGAAAAGCTGGAATGGTGGCCTGGGAAAGCTCAGAATGGTGACCTGGGAAAAGCTGGAATGGTGGCCTGGGAAAACGTGGAATGGTGGCCTGGGAAAACGTGGAATGGTGGCCTGGGGAAACCTGGAATGGTGGCCCGGGAAAACCGGGAATGGTGGCCTGGGAAAACCCGGAATGGTGGCCTGGGAAAACCTGGAATGGTGGCCTGGGAAAACTCAGAATGGTGGCCTGGGAAAAGCTGGAATGGTGGCCCAGGAAAACCGGGAATGGTGGCTTGGGAAAACTCAGAATGGTGGCCTGGGAAAACTGGGAATGGTGGTCCGGGAAAACCTGGAATGGTGGCCTGGGGAAAACGGGAATGGTGGCTTGGGAAAACTCAGAATGGTGGCCTGGGAAAACCTGGAATGGTGGCCTGGGAAAACCTGGAATGGTGGCCTGGGAAAACTGGGAATGGTGGCTCGGGGAAACGTGGAATGGTGGCTTGGGAAAACTCAGAATGGTGGCCCGGGAAAACCGGGAATGGTGGCTTGGGAAAATGTGGAATGGTGGCCTGGGGAAACCTGGAATGGTGGCCTGGGAAAACCGGGAATGGTGGCCTGGGAAAACCTGGAATGGTGGCCTGGGGAAAGCTGGAATGGTGGCCTGGGGAAAGCTGGAATGGTGGCCTGGGAAAAGCTGGAATGGTGGCTTGGGAAAACTCAGAGTGGGGGCCTGGGAAAACCTGGAATGGTGGCCTGGGAAAAGCTGGAATGGTGACTCGGGAAAACCCGGAATGGTGGCTTGGGAAAACTCGGAATGGTGGCCCGGGAAAACTCGGAATGGTGGCCTGGGAAAACGTGGAATGGTGGCTTGGGAAAACCGGGAATGGTGGCCTGGGAAAACCTGGAATGCCAGCCCAGGACAAACCCGCTGAGCCTGTCCCTGTGCCCGTTCCCAGCCCGTGAAGAAGAAGAAGATCAAGCGGGAGATCAAAATCCTGGAAAATCTCCGGGGGGGCCCCAACATCATCAACCTCCTGGACATCGTCAAGGATCCCGTGGTAAGGAACCCCCGGGAATCCCTGGGAATGCTTGGGAACCCCCGGGAATCCTCGGGAATGCTTGGGAATCCTTGGGAACCCTCGGGAATCCTCGGGAATCCTTGGGAACCCTCGGGAATCCTCGGGAATCCTTGGGAACCCTCGGGAACCCTCGGGAATCCTTGGGAACCTTCGGGAACCCTTTGGAATCCTTGGGAATCCTCGGGAACCCTTTGGAACCCTCGGGAACCCTCGGGAACCCTTGGGAATCCTTGGGAACCCTCGGGAATCCTGGGAATCCTTGGGAATCCTTGGGAATCCTCGGGAATCCTCGGGAATCCTTGGGAATCCTTGGGAACCCTTGGGAATCCTTGGGAACCCTTGGGAACCCTCGGGAATCCTTGGGAATCCTCGGGAATCCTCGGGAATCCTTGGGAATCCTCGGGAATCCTTGGGAACCCTCGGGAATCCTTGGGAATCCTTGGGAACCCCCGGGAATCCTTGGGAGTCCTTGGGAACCCTCGGGAACCCTTGGGAATCCTTGGGAACCCTCGGGAATGCTTGGGGAATCCTTGGGAACCCTCGGGAATAATTGGGAATCCTTGGGAATCCTTGGGAATCCTCGGGAACCCTCGGGAACCCTTGGGAATCCTTGGGAACCCTCGGGAACCCAGGGAATCCTTGGGAACCCCCGGGAATCCTCGGGAATCCTTGGGAACCCCCGGGAATCCTCGGGAATCCTTGGGAACC